GACTAGTAAGGTACTTGAACCTCTCCTAGTATTCTATCATTGAATCAGCTTGTGTAAGGAGAAGAAATGATCATACAAGTTTCCTCCCCGGCCGGTTCGGATCGTCTAACAAGCAATCCTTGAACTCCCTCAAACTCTGTATGGGTCACCGTATGCCCCTCTATTGGTATCAAGCCAAAGCCTTTCTTTCTAAACATAGGCTCGCTGCCATCAGTCTCTCATCATCCGTCAACCTTTGATAGTAAAGTACATTTCCACCATGTAGATTCACCCATGTGCATCCTCTCTCTCTTAAAAAATAAGCATCTTCAGTTTCATCACTCTCAGATCTCCTCCGTCAACCCTGCTTCCTGTAAAATTTCTCATTTTCCAAGGGGGTGGTCCCCCCAATTGTGCCAATCATCCTTCCTTCGCTCGCACCCAAACCTGTCATCACAAGCCCACATTTTCCCTTCAAATTCAGCCCCCGTTCAATCGTATTCAACCCCTCCTGTCAAATTTGACACCTCTTTGATCATAATCAAGTCTTTGCCTTTCAATTTCATCCCATGTTCTTTCAAATTCTACGTCTCTCCTCTCATGCCCAACCCCCTCACGCCTCTCCACATACTCTCTACCATACTCCTCCCTTGGAATAAGCCCTAGGGGAGGCCTTTTTTATGTTCCTTCTGAAGTCTCCACCTCCTGATCCTCCCTTCATTTGATTGGCTTAGGGTTTTCTCCATTTCCCTGGCTGTTGGTGACTTCCCTCACCTTCGATGACATTTTTTTTTTGTTTTGGGCCTTTAGCTCTCGAGCACTTTCTTTAAATTGTTCTTATCATGGATGTTTGAAATTTCTTTATTTAAATCTGAAACTTAATTTTGTAGATATGAAATTTCAGATTTCATTTGTCCAATCTCCCCTTCGAGGTGTTCCTCCAACACATTCACTTTCTTGACTGCCATCAATGCTCGGATTTCCGTTGGGCTAAAAATCTGAATCACGATTCCAAAAAACAGCAAAACAGCCCCTTCTAACAATCAATTGCTCATTTTCTCAAAAAAATCTCTCAAACAGTCCCAAAATCTGCTCTGATGCCAATTTATTAGGAAACTCTGGAAAATCTCAAGTAAAACCTAATGATCTTAACAAAAACAACGAGAATGATCAACCAATCCAAATGAAAAATAGGAAAAACAGTAGTTTTTATTGGAATAATCAAACTAACGGAAGGAAAATAACAAAATACAATTGATCCTCTATTTGAGAGGAGGATCTATCTCTCCCAAATCTCTAGATGCCGCTAGAGCCCAAAAATCTAAGGGATCTCAAATTTCAGCCAAATTCAAGATGCCCTAATCCTAGGAAAATAAACTATTTAATGCATACAATCCAAAAGGAAATCTCTAAACAGTCCATTCAAATTTCCCTCTTAAACTTCTCCTGAAACCTTCCTAATCTGCTCTTTTGGAAGGGGCGGCTTGTGTGGCTCGTACCGGAGGCGGAGAGGTTCCGCCTTTGTTCCGCTAGAGCCGGTCCCATGTGGACCGGCTGGACCAGTCTAACACTAAGGTTCTTTTTAATCATGTTTATGGAATTATTTTGGCTTCTGAGCATTCTATTTTGCATACCAATCACTGCTTCCACTTTAAATTAAACGAGTTATCATGAAGAATTGATTCAATATCAATATGAACAATACTTCTAGTTACAATTTGAAATATCTGGTTTGAATGTCATACTCGAAAAAAGATGCCTACATTATCTTGATAGGTTTTACCAGTGTAAAGGTCATTAGTGTAAAGGCCATAGGGGTGAGGTGTAGACGGCCGTAAAAACACAATAGCAGCATGTGCAACTTTTTGAAGTTGAGGTTGCCCTTTCATATAATTATCATTATTAGATTTTTTGCAACCTTTTTTTGATGACCGTCATTGCATACTTGTCTACTATTTATATTCTATCATTTAATGTTGAAAATATGACTTCTTCATATGGAAATCTGAAATGTACATATAAAATTTTCCCTCTCCTGGAATAACTAAATCCAAAATTTTAAAATTGGTATTGTTTATTTTTATTCTGTATTTATTCTTTCATTCTTCAGGTTTCTCCAAATTTGTTATTCTCAAATTTGTAGGGATTGATTGAAGGATAAAGACCTTAACCTAGCTCGCCTCCTTAAACATGCAATTTTATTATTCCTGAAAAAGAAAATCTAGGAATTATCTTTTTCGGATGGTATAGATTTACCTTCTTTCCTCTTAATCCTATAGAGCTTTTCTACTTTCTACTATGTTCCTCCTTAAATTATCAGCTTACATCACTTATTTTTTATAGCCCTCATTGCGAAATGCTACAACCATAATTTATGAATCCTATAGAGCCTTATCAGCTCGTATTGCTGCTGTTTGTTCTCATTTCAGTTTTAATTCCTTCCCTCTCCTTGTTGAAAAGATGTCTGTAGTCTTCGGTTTTCAATCTGAAACCATTATTGGGCCATTTTGGAATCCATCGATTAGGGCACTTCATAATATCAACGCCTCACATTTAGCAAACTAAGTAACTCCCTACTACTTTCATAAATTTTGAACGTTTTTTAAAAGGAATTGAGAAGCTAAGTCATGTGATTGAAAATTATCTAATATTGAAGATCCAAAGTTCAATGCTTGGAATGAAAAAGATTCTATGATTATTGCTTGTTTTTGTAATACCATGCTTCTAGAAATTAGTTGGAACTGCATATTCCTTACGCTTAAGAGGCATGAGAAGTTGTGGAATTATAAGTTACAAAATGGTATGCTTAAATCTATGGAATAGATTATTTTGGAGCTAGTTACACACGGGTCATATTTTATTTATCTTCTATTTTTCATTGGAGCTTATACAATTTGATGTAAACAATACCTTCTTGCATGGTGACTGGGCAAGAGAGGTATTCATGGAATCCCTACTTGGATTTCATGATAATTGAAGCGGGAAGTATATAGGTTAAAGAAAGAATACCATAGTTTAACGTAATATCCTAGAGCATGGTTTATAAGTTTCACAAAAGCTTTGCTAGCAATGAGATGCAAATGTTGTCAAGGGAATCATACTCTCTTCGACCTTATTGATATATGTGGACAATTTTATTATAATAAGAAAATGCATTTTCCAATGAGTTATTTTTTAATCAAAGAACTTGGAATATGAAGTATTTCTTGTGTATCGAATTAACATATGCTATGATAGGTATCTTTATTTCTTGATAAAATAGATGTTGGATCTTTTGAGAGAGATGCACACTTGGCTATTGGGTAATTGGTACACCTATTCAACTAAATCTTGCATTATGTGAAGAAAAAAATACGGCAAGTCAATAGATATTAGCAAGTAGTTTGTTAATTGATTTATTTATCCCACAGTAGACTAGATATAACTTATGTTGTTAGTGTGCTGAGTCAATTCATGTAGAATCTAAAGCACTTTAAAAAAAAAATGTAGAATCTAAAGCACTTAATAAGTTGTCCATTCACACTATCTCAAGGCCACTCCGTGAAGAGGGTTCATTTTAAAAGAAATAAAAAGTTTGGCTTGGGGGCTTAAGACAAAGGGAGGCTATGACAACTCTGCTTTAGATAGAATGTTCTCATCCAATTATTATTCTTAGAGGTAAATTGCTACACGGAGAAGTAAGAATCAAGCTATGCCTGCAAGTTCAAGTATTCAAATTCAGTTTAGAATCATGACTCATAGAATCTGTGAATTTCTATGGCTAAAAATAATCCTTGGTGATCTTAAAATTAATAGTGAAGGGCCTATGAATTTTATTTTGATGATAAATTTGCCTTCTATTTTTCCACAGTCTAGTCTGATATTGACCGAACCAAACATATTGAAGTTGATTGACATTTGTAAAAGAAAATTTAGATGGTGACTTGGTCAACACTCTTTGCATACTATGATTACTATCAAGTAACCATCAACTAGTTGATGTCATAACCAATGAGTTACCTATGTCAGGATTTTAAGAAATTACGAGTCGGAAATTGAAACATCTATTAACCAGCTTGCGAGGGAGGGTTGGAAATTTGAAATCTGGAATAGCAAATCTGGAATGTGTAAAATTGGCATTAATTCTATTTATTTCACGCTTGTTCTTTCTTTTATTAGATTTCTCCAAATATGAAATTCTCAGATTTGTTAGAGAATAATTGATTGATCAAATACTTCTTATAACATAGCTCGCCGATACATTTCCTCCTTTTGTTGTTCTACTGTACATGATACGAAAATAAAATACACAATTTTCACTCAAATGCATTACAAGGTTCTGCACCCTCTCAATCTAGAAATTATTATGTGCAGTAACTGAACAGTCTGGAGATGAATCAGAGCGCGCCACGTCATCCGGTATACAACTGTACACAACACTAGTACACAACATAAAAGTGATGTGGTGTTCTCTGATTCGCCTCGAGACATCATCCAGTGACCGTACATAATAATTTTTCCTCTCAATTACCATGATAATTTCACAGCGCAATACCAAGTGCCCAACCAGCCATTCATGCCATTATAAATATCTGGGATAATTCCCATTGTTTTTCTCTGGAAAGACACAAAATTGTATGGTTCGAATCCATGACCTTGAAGTTTAAACATTCTCCTTTATTGCATGACATTGGGATGGTCCCATTGGGAATAGGGCTCACTAGTGACACTATGCAATTACCATTAATAACTCCTTGGGATCAGATCCTACTAGCTTCAGCGCTTGGGGCTCATTTGTTTGTCCGTTTTTTCTGCTTTTTCCGTTTGGCAACGATAAACAAAATTATTTATTTGATAAAATTGCTTTTCTTAACCACGTTTTAAATACCGTTATTTTTTTACTATTTTAAAAAGTTTTTTCTCCGTTAGTAAACTTCATTCTCTCAAACAATATTTCTAAAACTAACTTTTAGAAAAGTCACAAAATAACCATTAATCTATCATAATATTTTCTCCTTCTCATTCCGACGCAAATCTGGCAGGTGCCTCTAGAAATGGATATCAGGAGTGGCTCAGATGAAGGTAATCCCGTAGTTGTCTCTACACCCAACTCTGACTCTGCTAAAGCGTACACCAATATGGCTGATAAGGTGATGCGACGGCTGGCTGAACTGGCAGAAGAGCGGCAGTTAGGCCCTCAAATATTGTTGTAAATTAAGGTTTAGTTTAATAAAGCAGTTTTTTAATATAATTTTTTTTTTAAAGAAATTTTAATACTAAAATATTGCTTTTAAAAATAATAATAATAATAAAATTGTCTCAAATGAAACCTAAGAGTGACGAGCCAAACTAGCATTATGTGCAATCTTTGGGCTTGTCTTAAGTGTAATCTGTAAGATTTCTGTTCTTAAAGATGGTAGATTAAAAGCATTCCCTCAGATGTTTGGGCAACAGGTTGATCTCATCGTATGGTTATTTGTTTTAAAAAAGAAATATCATATTATCTACATGAATGTAACATTTAGTTCAAGGCTTTTAAATGACATGTCTTGTTCATCCAAGAACTATCAGAATGCAATGCTGTTTTTATTTAGAGGTGAATTTTGAGTTATCTTTGATTCTTGAACTGAGTTTTATCCAATAAGCAATACTTCAAGACATGTCATTTAAAAGCCTTGAACTAAATGTTACATTCATGTAGATAATATGATATTTCTTTTTTAAAACAAATAATATGTAGAGTTTAACTTGTTATATCAGCATTATGTTTTATATATACCAAGTTTTAAAAAAAAATGAAAATAATTTAAGTCAATTTTAGTATGAACATGAGTCAAATAAAAATTTGAATGAGCTAATTACAGGCACATATCAAGTTTGTTCATAATAGATTGATATGGATGCAAAGAAGGCCAAATTTTGAAAGGAATATTTTACGAGTTGATTTTATGTGATGTGTAAAACACTTAAAAGTTTATAAGTAATATTTCATCCCCTCATCTTTTTTATGTTTACAAAATAACTGAGCTTTCTTCTTCATGCAATCTTTAATTTTTTTAGTAGCTTTCTGCTAATGCTATTCTCTTAGCTTAGTAGGAAACAACTCTTTCTGATTGTAATTTGTTGTTGTGGATATTCAGTCTGGTTGTTTAAAATGCCTTTAATTTCTTTTCCCTCATTATATGTATATTATTTATGGGATTTTTTTAGTTATTTAATACTATTGGATCCAAATGTATCCATTGATACTAGCAGGTCTTAGCAATTTAGATAATCAAGTGAGAATTATCAACTATGGAGAGTAAGTGAGAAGCTCTAATATCTCTCTGAATATTCTAAACATCATTAAAACCATCAGGGGCAAGCATGTTCATCATGAGCTCCATTGGGTGAGCGATTACTTGCTCGTAGATTGATACTGGTGACTACTGTATTGGGGGATGCTTTTTTTTTTTTTTTGGAGAGCACATCTTTGACCGCATGCTCCCTCTGGTCAAGTCTCACAGACATAAATCGTCTTGGATATATACGAGTTATCTATATAGGCAAAAAACGGGTATACATTTAGTTCTCTAGTTTACTTTCTCATTTAAAGAGTAGTTTGTGAAAAATGACAAGTGAATAAAAGAACAACATGTACTATCTTCACTAAATAACAAAAGGGAAAGTAAATGAGAATGAGATTGCCCTATTCTTACAATTGTCTTGAGTGGAGTTCCCTCCTTTAAAATTCACATTATGGCATTGATTTGAGTACCCCTAGACTATATTTGGATATAAATAACAATAAGGGTCAATGGCATGGATTCACTCCTCCTTTGCTATAAGTGGTTTTTGATAGCTCGTTTAAGAGATGGTTGACAAAAACCCTTCTAATGACAGTAAGAATTTGTAGAAAGCTCTTCTTCGTAAATGCATGCAAGTGGAAGTTGAAGGGAAGAAGTCCAACTAGCCTATTGAGAAGAAGAAGAAGAAGAAGAAGGTGATTTTGGTCAGGCTAAAGTCGTTCGTGATGTACTAACCTAGGTTGTAGAAGTAGTGTTGAGGAAGAAGTTAGAGGTTTAGCTAACTAAGGCAAGGAAATCGATCATGGTAAGGCATTGGTGGTCAAAAAGATCAAGGCAAAGGCCATCCTCTACTAAGTTATGAAGATATGACTCTCACTAAATGACATGCAAGGTGAGTGTTCACATTGTAAGGAGTTCGTCAAGCACTGACAATGGTGAGGCTATTCATGAGGTGGAAACTTAACCTTCAAAAGTGTTTTTGATTCAGTCTTTTGTGGAACCCACTAACAGTGATGTCCCCACACTTGAGAAGTTTGAGTAGTTGTTTGAGACCAACGAAAGCAAGAAGAGTTATTTTCCCATTTTTGAATGAGTTATACTTTGGACTTAAATCTAGTTGACCTCTAGCAAGCCAAGAATCCACCAAACCTCAAACAAGGTTTTAGGTCATCTACTAATTAAGTTCAAGGTATTAACGCTGACTAAATGGATGTCTAGGTTATACATGAGGATTTTGGACCTCCACGATAAGTGTAACATCACAGACATCAATAGTGAAAGGATTCATCTGACATTCTTCTTTTTCTCGTTCAGATCAATACAGACATCCAGAAATGATAATTGCATTAAAGCAAAAAAATACATCAAAATACTATACTTCACATTTCGGCATTTCATATACAATCAAAAGGAGCGTCCAAAAGAACATATACAATAGCCACTCGGGCTACAAAACAAAAGCCTGAACCAAAAGTTACAAAAACTATACTAGTGACTGAAAGAAGCTTCACGCGGGAGGCTCTGCACCTGAAATCATTAACCACATATAATGAGCTTAAATAGCCCAGCAGGTCACCAAAGCCTACAACTGAAATTAAAGCACGACACGAAAGTAATATGCGTGTAAATCAAATCAAGTCAATATCAATCATTGCACATGATCAATGAGTCGATGCAGATACGAAAATCAAATCAATACATAAACAATAGAATCCAAAATCATCAGTAAGAGAATCAGTGAACAGTAGGAAATCTCATAAAGCTCAATAAATCAGTACATGCGTTAAATCTCTACAGTAGTCGTCTTATCTATCACATCAGTCTATCAATATAGTAAAGTCTTCAATATCACTCACTCAACAATTCATATGCAATGTAGTAATCGATATAACGTGTTCAGTAAATCACATATCACTTGTTCAGTATCTCAATCAGTAGCAGCAGCGTATGTATTAATATCCATAGTGACGACATGAACGATTATGCTATAACAGTGAAATCGAATCAATCAGATCAGTAAAACAATTAATTTCGGTCAATAATATCAATCGGTATAAAATCACATAAAATAATCAAATCAATACATCGTAAGAACAGATGAAACCAAATCAATAAAATCATCAAATACAATTGAAATCAATCAATGAAATAAAATCATATAAAAATTAATAAATCAATAATCACATGCTCGGTGTATCACATGTATCTTGTTCGGGGTATCACATGCTATAAGATCAGTACAATGAATCAATGTATCAGTGGTATCGGTATCGGTATCTGTATCCATGAATCAATACGATATCCATATCAGTATCAGTATCAATGTCCAGTGACATGTACCGTATGCAATATCAACAAAATCGTATAGTAACAGTAAACCCGTAAATCCGTTAAATCCATTCAATATCGATAAATCAATTCTATATCAATAAATCAATCGATCTCAATAAATCAGTAAATCCATCAAGAAATCATAAGAACAGTTCTGTACGCATGCAATACAATACAGTAGTCTTACTTAACAAGTACAATCACTGGCTATTAAGGC